TACAGTCTCGGAAACCCAGAGCACCAGTCCTCCCCGGTCCTCTATGGTCTATGTGCCCATTCGATTGGACTTGCTGGCAGCGAGGGAGGGAGGGAGGTGGGAACAATGGAACATGCAAGTCGCCGGCTCCCTCCCCAACGTGCGGTGGGACTGAAATCCCCTCGGTGGCAGTGAGGTGGTTTTCTTTTCTTTATGGGATCCCCAAGGAGCCCCGGTGGTGCTGTGGGATAAACGGGGGTGGGGGGGGTGGGGGCTCAAGCTCAGTGGCTGAAAGACATCAGTCACTGCTTAGTCTCAGAAACCCTACAGAGGAGTTCTACTCTGTCCTATAGGGTTGCTATGAGTCAAAATAAGGCTCAGTGGCAATGGGTTTAGATCCCCCTCGCCCCCGCCCCGGATCCCTAGGGGTCCCTGGTAGTGCTGTGAGTTAAGCATTGGTTAGCTCATGGATCAAGGATTTAAACCTACCTGCTGCTCCTTGGGAGAAAGATGTGGCAGTCGGCTTCAGTAAAAATGTACAGCCTTGAAAACTCTAGGGGGAACTCTGTTTTGGCCTTGCTATGAGCAAGCATTGACCGGGTAGTAGTTTTCATTGTTTCTGTTTTTAATTATAATGGGGGTCCCTATGGGCGCAGGAAGTAGCTTGGTGGGTGGTATTTTTCACTGGCAGGGGGCGCTGTTGCCTTGATGGAAGGCTAGGTCCATTCCCACCTTCCCAGTCCAAAGAGCCAGCTCCCAGGAGAGACTTTGCCACCTAGTGACCAAGAGGGAGGCCTTGGCACTGGCTGTGCCAGCTCAGAAAGGTGGCACGGCCAGCCTTGTCCTGCAGTTTCTCATCTGTGCTGTGAGCAGACACCCGGGACGCTGTGGGTGGAGGGTGTTTAAAAGGGGGCTGGCACGGAGCCCTTGTTTCCACAGGTGAGAAAAGGATGTGCCTCCGAGGGCAGGGTCACCGTCAGGACCGGCTCCCCTCGCCCTGCTCACAGAGCCCCTGTCTGAGGTGACGGGGTGTCTGAGTTCAGCTGGAGGGAGGCAGGTCCCTGAGTCACTGGCTGGTCCTCCTGACAGCTCACAGAGGGCAAAAGACACCAAGCTGTCCGTTCCTTGGCTGGCATTGCCTGTTGTCAGACTTGACTCATTGATGCCTGGCCCTGAGCTGCCTCTGAGGTAGGGGAGGGGGGAGGACACCATCTGTGAATCCTGGCCAGCACCCAGAGAACTTTCTGGAACTCCAGCTGCTGTCTGAGGACATGGGTATGGATGAGTGGTGAGATGTGGTAGGGCCCTGGAATATCACCCCCATCCCCACCCCACCCCCCAAGCGTGGCTGGCTTGTGACCTTGCAGGCCTCACTGGGTTTGTATGCGTATAAGGGGGTGGGGTGGGGTGGGGTGAGGTGGGGCGGGCGACAAATCATAGCTAAATGGGGCTTGTCTGTGGTCACTTCTCCTGCCCCAAGCAAGAAGACAAGCATGGAGCTCCTGGGGTGGGAATACTGAAGGCCAGCCAAGTGCTCCTCCACATTTTTCTCCCCGAGGAGAGGGGAAGGGTGTGAAGTCCCATAGAGAAGATGGGTACTAGGGGAGGGAGGTGGGGTGGGAGGAGTATATGTCATGGCTTTTCCCTGCTAGAATGCCTGGGATCTCTGAACCCCCTCTCCTAGAGCCAACAGGTAGAGAGAAGAAACAAGAGTGGGCCTATGGATCCGCTCAATTCTTCCCAGTCCAACCAAGGAACAGAGCAAAACAAACCCAGAACAAAACCTCACTGACATGCAGTCAATTCTGACTCACAGCGGCCCTATCGGACAGGGTAGAACTGTCCCTATGGGTTTCTGAGCAAGCCCCGTCTTTCTCAAGGAGTGGCTGGTGGTTTTGAACTGCTGGCCTTGTGGTTAGCGGCTCAACTTGTAACCACGATGCCACCAGGGCTCCTGTAAACCAAGGAGGAAGATGCTAAATGATTTTACTGAGGTGCTTCTAGGTACCCTTATCCTAGTCATAGTGCATGACTAATGAGCCTGGTGGCATGGTGAGTTAGGAGTTGGGCAGCTAGTGGTTCAAATCTGCTAGCCCCTCAAGATGAGGTGGCCTGCTCCTGTGAAGAGTCGTAGTCTCACTACAAAAGGACACGATGAGTCAGGATTGACTGGCTGGCCATGTTTGTTTGGGGGGTAATTCGGTACCTGGCACTTTATACCTTGATGTGCTATGTCATTTCTGCCTCATGTGATGCAGGCGGAAGCTGACGCTCAAAGAGACTGAGTGGGCAGATGTGAGACAGCGGCGGGCAGAGTGGAGACCTGCAGCCCGGGCTGGCGGGCCCCACGGAGCTGGAAGGATGGGGTGCTCTAGGCTGAGGGGACCTCATGGCTTTTCTCCTGCCTGGGTCTAGCGGTGTTCCAGCCACAGTTTGCGTCTCTGAGCAACCAGGTGGTGGAAGGGAGATGTGCTAAATAAAGTGTTGGCCCCTGGGACCCCAGGCCATGGCTAGGCTCACAGTGGGCATCTCTGTGGCCTGCTGCACCAGCTGTTGGAATGCCTGGGGCCTGAGTGGCCCTGTGTGGATGCAGTTCCCTAGGTAATGAAGAAACACTGCTGACATCATGGGCTTAGCTTAGTGCTGGGAAAACCCAGCCTGGTGCATGACATGACTCCTGGTGAGAAGAGCAAACAGTTCTTCCCATACCCACCTGTCTAACACCCAGGGCTCTTTCCAATGGCACTGCCAGGTGTGGGGCTGTGGGGAGGGAACCCATAGGCAGCCCTGCCGGGATTCACAATGGCCCTGAAGCTTTATCCTCTAACAGGAGTTCTGGTCCACCACTCCCTCTTCTCACTGCACCCTGTTCAGGAGACCAGAGCTGACATGGGACACCCATGTCCCCAAGGCCCCCAGGAGCATGGAAAAGACGCGATGGGGCAAGCTACCCCTGAACCCAGCCCTTGCCTAACATGGTTATGTGTTGCCAAGAACAAGGTCCACAGGAGTCCCCCTTAAGCTTACCCAAGCAGCCCCTCCTCACAGCAAGGCCCTCTTAGGTTGTTAAGGAAACAGATGTAGCAGCCAGAGAACCTGGCCCAGGTCTCCAGGACAACATGACTTACATCCTTGATGTCATCTGAGCCCCATGTGGCATCCCCCGCCACACTAGTCATAAACTTCAGTGTCTGACAGGTTCCTGTCACGAAGTACCTCACAGCCTGTCTGCCCCGAATCCTCAGACACCCTAGAGATGCCCAGGGGTGGCAGGATAGGTGATGGGCACCTGGGGGCCAGGAGGAAGGGAGGCAGGACCCAGCAGGCTGGAAGCAGAGCCAGGATAAAAAACCAAGCTTCCCCATAGGACCCCCACCTTGCCCCCCATCCCCATGGCCAACAGCACCCCCGCCCTGAGGTCTGAGGGGTGTTAGTGCCGGGCAGTGGTGGCTGAAAGCCTTCTTCCCCAGTCCATACTTGGCCTGTAAGCTGAGCAGCAGTCTGAACTCCAGGCCCTGGGCAGCGGGCCCAGCCTGGACCCGAGGGGAGGAGGGACACAGAGGAGAAAAGCGGCCAGCTCCAGCCCCAACCCTATCTGCCCCTTTTGGCATCAGAACGCCATCTTCCTGGATATCCCCACCCTCGGCCACCTCTAGCCCAGAAGCAGAGTGACCAGGGCCAGGGCCAGGTATTTTTAGCAGGGGTTCATGCAGCTGCTTGGAGATAGGGGTGGGGGCAGAGGCTGAGTTCACCCTTGGACTCCTCTGGTGGCCCATGTCTCAAGCACACACCTTCACCTCCATGCTCCCTGGTCTCCTCTAAACAGCCCTCCATGCCCGGGCTCCTGGGGAGATGCCAGCTCTCACCCCCAAGGGCAGGCTCAGCAGCCAGGCTCTTCCTCAGAACAGGAGGCTAGAGGCCTGAGGCTGGGGACCCCTGCTTTAGAGCTGGGCCTGTGGGTAGTAGGTGTCCTGGGCAGAGAAGGGTAAAGTCTTTCATTCCACTGGACCTGGGCTTCAGGCCAGGTCTGGTGGCAGTGGTGGTGGAGGAGGGGGGGGGGCAGAGTTGGACAGGAGGGCAGGGAGAATTCACTCTTAAAGGGCCAGGCCTAATTTGTCCCTAGGGAGGAGTTTGGTGCTCCTGCAGCCCCTCTGCCCGCAGTTCTTCCCCCCACCCCCACCCCACCCCACCCCCAAATCCCGACAGCCTCGCAGCCCCATTTACACACTTCCCCCTCCCCCGACCCTCCTCCCACATTTCCTCCCTCC